CCAATATAATTTAACATATCGCACTAATAATTATTGGTTTGAAATGACATTAGATTAGACGATGTACGATTAGTGCAAGATTATTAGACTGATAAAAAATAAAATTCAAAAATACGAATTTCCATTAGTGCACTAAAATCATAATCTAATGTTTTAGTGTACTAAAACATTCACCAATGATTAGTCCAAGCTCAAAAATAGACCCCAGACTCCCTTCGACCTCCGAAGTTCTAGCAAGGGCAGCAACGTGGTTGAGGCCGACGTCGAACGTGGCCTCGTCGTCGTTCTTGTCTTCTTTCCCCAAAGGTGTCCTCCTCTTGTCAGGATGTCGCAATAGGGGAGAATTCTCCGGCAACGGCCTTAGTACTGCGCAAGTCTGCCCGGTGGTGAGTAGATGTACCTTCTCCAAGGGACGGTTCTGCCCTTCTACCACCTGATCAGTCACCCGTCCGCATCATCTCGTCCTCGTCTTCCACAGCAGCAGCATCGGGAGACGACGATTCTTGCTTCTCGTGCGCTACGCTATCTCTGCGTTCTGTATATGCCATATAGTCGACGGCTTGTCGATAACCACCCCATAATTCTCATAACCATCACACTGTCTTTGTAGCTTGATAAGAGCTCTAAGACAACGAGGTGGGCCACGCCAGTGAGGCGTTCCGCTTCGGCTTCTCTTCGGCGACTCGAAAAACATTTGTCGATGAGTTCAGCTCTCTGATTAGACTCATCGACACCTTCCATCGGGTCATATTCATCAACTCTTTCGGGAGCAAACAGGCATCCGTCGTCAATATCCCCCTGCATCAGCCCTAACACTGTGGACACCGAACTCCGAAACGCTTCCACAGTCTGGAATTTGCCACAGAGAAAACAGTTCTTTGGCGATTTCTCGGCCTTCATGCACTGGTGCAAGTTGGCCCATTGGGTAAACTCCGATTGAGTCAGCGGCATATCGTCATGGAAACGATCCCGCACGTCCAACCAATCCTCCACCATATCCTTTTCTTTTTTTTTTTTTTTCCTCCTTTTCGACTTGATGTGGACCGTCCCGGAACTGCCGTTAGGCATTGCTTCGGGGTGGCCTACGTCGCCTTCGTCTTCTTACCACCGCGCTGAGATACGGCCCAAGTTTACACCAGAGCCGAATCCCAGCACGGCGTAGCCTCCCCCATTAGCCGGACCCTACTAGAGGGTCCGTTGCCCAGGTTGGACCACGTGGAGGTGGGGTAGGCCGTCTTTCTTCTTGTTGGTCGGATTTAAAACCCGACCTTCTTTTTTGCTGCTATCAGGGCAGTCTTTGGAAAGGTGCCCCTCCTTCTTGCACCTGAAGCAGGCCTTTGACCGGTCCATGGGCAATATGCCCACGTTCCAGACACCTGTAGCACTGAGGACCCTTGGTTTCAGTCAAGAATCCTCAGCCTACAGGAAGTCCACCCAACCCGGACACGGTCTATGGCGCCAGGCGATGAGCCATCTTGAGGGGCACCTCGCATACCGCTCTTTACCGCCGATGTTCGTGCGGACCGTAATAGGTCCCACTTGCGGCGGCAATTCTCCATTAGGAGAATTCAGGGCGGCGCTCAGTGCTTTGTGCACGTCCTACTCCTCCTGCCACTCCTCCACATCCAGGAGGAGTACGGTGCAGGTCATCGAAGGACGGTGCACACGCACATCCATCTCCTTTAGGGCCGCCCTCAAACTAGCAGCCAGAAGGTTAGCTTGTTCAGGCGACCCCCGGACCTCCAAAAGGCCGGCCCCCGTCTGTGTTCTCCAGGTCCCGGACACGTGAACGCCCAAGGCCTGGAGGTCCACCGCAGCCATGGCTGTACCCATAACCGTGGCATACTTCTGATATTCCTTTAAGGAGCCGATCACCACGGCCTCTGTGCGAGGCACTTTCGACCGCAGTTACGCTGCATTTTGTTTTCCCGTCGTCGGAGGAGGTTTGGGCTTAACTGCCGCGTTCTCCTTCCTCTTTACCGCTACCTTCCGTCCTACCACTTGGGTCCATAGCGATTCAGCGGGAGCAGCTCCCGCATCCCCTTCTACAGACCCTTCATCGTTAGCCTCTCATCAGTCTGCGTCTGGATAGGCGCAGTGACTGGATTGGTGGCAGGACCTGGGGCAGAAGGCCGCTTTTTCTTCCTCTTCCTTTGCTTCTTCTTCGTCTCGTTGGCTCCCTTCGTCATGGCGGCCGGTGGGTCCTCGACAATAGTTTGTGTCCCGACTACTTTCGCCGATTTCCGAGGCGCTACTTCCAGCGCCCGTGGCTGGACTACTGTCTCCGCTGAGGCTTCCTGATGGATCCTGGACGGCGGAGACGCTCTTCTGCGTTTCTCCTCATCCAGGATCTCCTCCAGGCGCTTCGTCCTTTAGCTAGGAACCTGCACTCATTATGAGTGCAGAAGGAATATATCTGTCTTATAAATTTAAAACTAATTGCTCTACTAAAAATCTTTCTGTTAGTTTGGTATACATTCTCTTTTTTCTAGATGTAAATACAATAATGTATCGTTTATTTCTAAAATAATCAAAAGTACTGTTATATGCCTCGAAATTTTCGAACAAATAGAATGGATGTTTCTCACATTCTACACTAGGTAAAATACTACATTTTATAAATTATTCCACACACAACAATGTAATTTCAATGAACCTAAAAGTATATTACTTTGGGCCAGTAATAGCCTCGATAATTTTGATTTCAATTTTAATGAATCTAAACTTCGAAATCTATATTTAACATTTAATTAAAAAACTTTATATTTTAATAAATTATTATTATATGTCATAAAAAAATGTTTATTATAATTTAATACTATTTTGATCACGTCTATTATTATTAATTATATACTATTGTATATTAAAATTATTATGTACACTCTATTATCTATAAACTTAATATTATTATCATTATTTATATTAAATACGATTATTCATTTATACTACAATTTTGTTTATTAATATCACGAAATTCATGATTAGGACAAAGGACTTAAAGAAGATCTAAATATGGAAACACATATCTACTTAAAAATTCTAAAATATGCTCTTAAATTCTTAAGCAACTATGTCTACACTGAAAAGGACTTAAAGGAATCACGGATACAAATCAATCTAATTATGTGTTCCAATTGATGTAAAATCTAATTTTTGACACCAAAACAATAAAATATTTTGTTGTTGTTTCTAAAAAATATTATCTTCCTATAAAGTCAGGTTCCTACGACTGGTGTACTAGCCAAGCCGTCGGAACACTATACTTGTACAAATATTGGTCGCATGTCAGTTGCCCGTGGATTGTCGGTAAATATGACACGAGCAATTAATGGCTTGACAAGTTTACACTTTTAGTTCACTGATTTAATACCCTCATATCACATTTAATAACATCCCTTCATCTAATTTATCCATCTATTTTTTGGTCTTCCTCAAATTTCATTCCTATAACTGTTCTTACTGCTTTCGATTTACCTCTACTCATACCATGACCAAACCATCTAAGTCTACTTTCTCTCATCTTATCCATGATTGACGGTACACCTATATTTCCTCTTATATTTTTGTTTCTTATCCTATCTTCTTAACTAAAAAAAAATGTTTTAGCTTCAATGCAAATGTGTCTGTTACCACTTTTTCTCAGCTCTCACCGAACGGATTTCATTCAACGATACGTCAAAAGATCACAAATTATATCTAGCCGAAGACATTACATCAGTGGATTATTCCAACACTAAAAAAACTTCTATTTCCTTATTAATATTCTGATTAGAAGTTTTATGATTCATAAGTATAATATTTATTATAACAATTAATAATAGTTTAGTATTGTAATTTTTTACGAAGAATTTATAAATATTAATAGTAGTTACTTCTATCGCAAACGTGTATAAAAATTGAAGTTCTTGTTGGCAAATTTTCAATAAAAAAAACCCAGCTCAGTGAGATGGCGGCACAGTGGGGTCATGTCATAGTTAGGTCCAGTATAGATGATATCTGACAGTGATTAAAATCACTATCATAAAAAACGCTTCGATGCAAATCTGTAGATAGTGTTTAATTAAAAAAAAAAAAAAATTTGTTAAAATAGCATGTTTTTGAATACGATAGCCATTTGCACATAGAAAATAAGTCGTCGGGACAATTTTTTTTTTTTTATTATATAGTTCATAAAATAAGCTTTAATTTGATATATGTTTAAAGGACGCAGTATTTCCGGAACATTTTCAAAAATTAAGTTGAAAAAGTTATTTTTTGTAAAAAAAGTTACTATTTTAAATCCCCCCAGTGAGCAGGTTAAGTGTTAGATTTTCAAAAAAATGATATCAAACGAAAGGGAAATATCTAAGGTTTTAGTAGAAAAAAAAATTATGTTGATTTGTTTATTTTTCAAAAAGTTATGGAAGTTTTAAGAAAAAAAAGTGAAAAAAATGACAAAATTTACCGATTTTTAAATTTATAATTTTTTTGAATATTTCTCCCATTTGCGGAGAATGAGGGAAAATTTTTCAATTTTTAAGGGTAATGTCTTCAACTAGATACGATTTTTGATTTTTTGACGTATTGTTAAAAGAAATCGGTCCAGTGAGAGCTGAGAAAAAGTGGCAACAGACATAAAAAAAAAAAAACACATCATAGTAAAATTAATACCTTCTCAGCTTCGCATCGAAGCTAAAACCTTTTCAAAAATATGATTGATTTAATATTGTAAAATTTGTCTTAACTTAATTTTTGTTTTATTTCTAATTGATCATAGCTTTTATTAAGACTTATATTACTTTTTCCATAAATTATCTTATGTGAACTGTATAATTATAGATACTAAAATGTTATTTAAGATATTCAAAGTGTAATTAAGCTTTAATTTTTGTCATGTTTAAGCCATTTAAAATAAAATGATAACACTAATAATAGTGTTATCATAGAATACAGAAGATCTTATTTATTCTGTGGTATTGTGATTATGACGACTGATAACAATTTTGAAGTGGTACTAAATGTGATATGATCTAAGTAACAAATGGTTAGCTAATAAATACGCCGAAACACGGTTTTCTTAGTTTTATCAAATTTAATGTTAAAAATTTAGCTCAATACTTTCCAAAGGTGTATGAAATAATGTCAACTGAATCTGAAGCTTTTAGTAGGTGTGAATCAAATTCTGGTGAAAAAACTCCAAAAGAAAACTTTCAAATAAGACCAACCCAAAACGAAAAGTATGTGTGTACTTTGTAGTTTTCGAATGTTTAAATTATTTCAATAATTTTTTAACAAAAATATAGCTAGAAAATATTTATTTTTTTAAGTACATTAGAATATTTTATAGTTTTGAATATTAAATTTAAGTAAGCTTTTTTCAATCAAACCAATATGATTAAGTTTCCCAAGTAGAATTTAATTTCTGTTTCTATGAAATTTTTTTATGTTTTGTTTACTTTTAGATTCAAAACTATTTTAGCTAAAGAAATTATTCAAGAAACACTTCATAAATATCTTAAAGATAAAGATTATAGTCAGATCAGTGCTGAAACATTGAGTAAAACTATTGCCAGTGAAATTAAAGATCAACTAAAAGGTTTTTATTGTGAACATTTTGTTGTTGCTTCACCTATTTAAGTTTAAATTGAAAAATTATGATTACCATTTATTTTCTTTTTGAAATTAAATTAAAAATGAATTATTAATAAAATAATTGATTAAATATTGTGTGGCATTAAAATTTTACCAATCATATTGTTACTAAAATGTATAAAAATTGTTATCAATCTAATTAATCAAGTTTCTCTAANAAAATTGTTATCAATCTAATTAATCAAGTTTCTCTAACACAATATTTTAGATTCATTATTTTACTTTTAGAGAAATGCATAAATAGCCGCTTTAAACTTATGGTACAAGTAGTCTTAGGAGAGAGACATGGTGCTGGTATCAAAATTGGTGCTCGATGTATTTGGGATGCTGATACTGACACACTAGCTTCAGATCAATTTTTAAATGTCAGTATAAGTTTTATTCTTAATTTATTGTATGAAATATGACAGTATACTAATTAAATATATTTTTATCCTAACAGCAACAATACATATGTGCAAATTTTCTTAAGTACACTTACAAAAATTTAAAAATAACCATGAAAAAACAGTATTTTAAATATTGAATTTTACTTGTATTATTTAAAATATGGTTGTTTGTTTATAACTAAAGATCAAATATTTGTTTTAAACATAATCATAAAAATCAAGAGTATATAGGAAAATATTATTGTTTAATAATTTCTTATAACTTTTTTGTCACTCCATAATGGTTTATTATGTGTTTAATAATTTTAGAATTCCCAAAATTCAATAAATGTTAAATGATTTTCTTATAAACATAATTATATTTTATTTCTAATTATAAATTGTCTGATTGACCTTGAAAAAAATTGATTTTTTTTTTTAACTACAATTTCAAACTTATTAATTGCATTATTTGGTATAAGAAGTTTAACTATTAATATAACTTGGAGTAAAATTCATCTTTTTCATTCTAAAACTATTGGTACCTCATTAAAATATTCAAATAAATCATGTGTCTTGAAAGGTTTTATTCGTAAACATAATTTAAAAAGAGTGTTTTAAACTGTTAAAATTTTATAATTTAAAATTTAAATGAAAAACATATTTATTAGAACATAAAAAATTTAATTACGTGTTTTAAGTAAAAATATTTATTTTATTTACAATTCTTGTATTGTTTTTTTTTTTCTAGGAGACAATATTTTGTATGGCCGTAGTCTTTGCAGTATACTTTTATTAGTTTTATTTCAAATAATTTCTATGTAAAAAAAAAAAAAAATTTGTGTTATTTTTTTATACGTAACATAATAATTTAAAATAACAAAATATTGTATTTTTTCACCAAGATGGCAAATAATGAAGAAGTTGATAATGTTTGGGATGACATGGTAAATTTACCAGCTGATCCTCCTGAGATGAGGCAATTATGTACTTTATGCAAGTAAGCTATGGTTATATCCTAATGTTATAATCAAAGATAGGCAAGTTAATGGAAACAATTAACATAAGTAAAGTTAAATAGGAACAATAATGATAAGTTAAAAATTAATAAATTATATGTTTAACTAGTCAAGTTAAAAGTTAAAAAAAAAATGATTTAGTTCTTAAATTAGTTTAAGGATAAAAAATTTATTTTTTTTTCTGATTTCCTAATTTATGAGTAACATTAGCACAACTATAGGTTATAACCTAATATTTCATAAATTACTCATTGTTTTTCCCTTAAAAAATTCAAAGATTTATATTATTATATAGATATATTATTTAGGACATGTTAAAAATCAATTTAGCCAAACCTCATTCTAGCACCATGATAAATATTTGTAATAAATTTGTCACCTTGGTTTAAAATGTATATATTAGCTTACACATGCTTATACAGCACCCTAATTAAGCTATGTGAGAAATTTCCTCAAATCAGAGAACAGTTTGGTAATAATTATTTTTATTACATAATATTAATGTTTTATATGATAAATATAAATGATATGTTATATCAATATTTATCATATTTCATGCTAATTTATCTTAGTATAATAATCAAGAAATATAATTTATTTAAATATTAGATTATTTGATAATTTGTAATTAATCCAGTCAAAAATATATATGGCATAAATTATTTTATTTTAACAATGAACTATTTTATTTAAATGTTAATTAGAAAAATAATTAACTATTTACTACCTACTTTTTGTTATGGATATATATATAATATATATTAAGAGCAACTCATGAGGGGCTAATGTTATCTTTATTTAAGACATAAATATAATTCTATTTTAAAACTATTTTCAAAGACATAGTCTTGATTTACAAAGTTTAACATTTTTTATATTTCAAAAACGCCCTTAGTTATTAAAAGTAACTAAAAGCTATTTAATATATCATTACCCGAGTTTTAACTATATTTTAAATATTGTTTTTATTTAGACGTCCATTAAATGTTTGTTGGTGTAATTATTTACCTAAAGTAAGATTAAAACCTAAGTGTAAAATAATCTTATTGCAACATCCTGCAGAAGAAAAAAGAAGCTTAAGAACAGCCCCTATGCTGACCTTAGGTTTGTCAGAAAACAGTTGTACTGTTTACAAGGGAAAAAAATTTCCAACTAGAAAGTAAGTAAACATAACTTAAATAAACTAATTATAATTTTAATTTACCTTTTTATAAATTGAAAAAAATCTATGATTTAAATTCAAATATACTAATATTTCATTTATTACTGAAATATTGATATATTTTTTTTATATAGGTATTCAATAACTAAGTAAACGGAACTCTATTATTCTCATTGTTTGTAACCATTGACTTGTTTCCTTTTACTTTTTGAATACTCTGTATATCTGTTATTTATAATCAGTGTTAACCAAAAATGACCCACTTTAAAAAAACTCCGAAAATAAACCCAACCCAACCTCACTGTAAAAATCCTGTCTATGCCATTGAATTTTGGATACATCAATCCATACAAAATTTATGTTTAGAAATAAATATATTCAAATCAACTTTTTAGAATAGATAAAACATACTAAATTAAAAAATAAAGTTGTTAAAATTATATATTTTAGTTCTTTTAATAAAATATAGTTTTAAATTTGAAATTATTTCCACTTTCAATTCATTTAACAAAATAATATAAATATATGTATAATAAGTAAATATAATATAAACAAAATAACAAACAGTCTTTTGGTTAAAACTTTTTTATAAATATTTGACACTAAATTATAATTCAAAAACAAAGATTTTATAGTTTAAACTATAAAATCTTAATAATTATTTATTGTATGATTATTTAGTTATCCTTGCCATTAAAAATAAAAATTTTAAAATAACAAAATGAAATTCTAGATAAAGAATAAAATCAAATTGCTTTTAAGTAAAAATAAAATTAGGAAAATCTAGGACTTTATGGAAATCTCAAAAAAAACCATCTTTATTGGGTTTTATTAAAAAACCCTAGGTTGTGCCAACCCTTGTTATAATAAGAAAAATTGTACTGAATTTTATGAATACCTACTTATCTACTGAAATTAAATTACTGATTTATTTATTTTTCTAGGCATATAGGTCTTTGGGATATACTAAATTCTAAAAAATCTGTTTTGCTTTATCCTTCTTCAAAAGCAATCAATATGGAAAATTTACCAAAGGATATTGAAATAAACAATTTAGTTCTACTAGATGGTACTTGGCCTCAAGCTAAAGCTATTTATAATAATACTCCACTACTACAAGCAATGACACATGTAAAAAAATCCATATTATGTTGTTTAACATGGTATTAATATTTTGTAAGTTAAAAATAATTATTTTATTTTTTTATGAAAGGTAAAATTGCTGTATAAATTTGAAAGTCACTATATAATCAGAACACAACCAACTGATGGTTGTCTTTCAACACTAGAAACTGCAATTGAAGCTTTGACCATACTTGAAAATGATCAGACTTATAAAAATTGTCTATTAAAACCATTAAATGCATTGTGTGATTTTCAAATTAAGCATGGAGCTGTTACTCATCAGAGTAAAGAATTTCGCAAACGTAATAAGACATATCCAAAACTTATAGGAAGACGGCTTCAACAGACCTTAGATATTAAAGATGAATGTGTTTAATAGATACATCTTTATTGTATATTATGTGTGAAAATAATATAAACAAGATTTAAAATGTACGAATTTTATAAAAAAAAATATTTCAAATTGTTTAAAAAGTATAATTTAATGTATATATTTTAATTTATTAATTGCTTAAAGTAATATACATCACATTTTATGATTTTATTTTCAATAAGCATTAAATAACTAGTATTTAATAATAATAAATGATTAAGATAGCAAAATGTCATTATTATTTATTAAACTTATGTAAAACTAATTGCTCTATAACTTGTAAAAAGATATAATCATATTCTTAAAAAATATGTTTATTGTGTTATCTTAGTTTGATTTAAAAATAAAAAAATTTAAACCTATTCTTGAAGTATTATTATTTTCAGTAATATAAAAGGGCTAGGCCAATATTTAATTATGGCTAGTGTTTATAACACAATTTTAATTATTCTTTTTTTTACATTCAATTAAGTTATTAGATTATTATTATCAACAAAATTTTACAATATTGGATATTCAAATGTCAGTAAAAATTTGTACATTCTGTACAACTCAATTCAGTTTGTAAATATTGTACGTTATTATTTCATTATTTAATTATATTATAAGATATTTATGATAATTGAAGTATATTTTTTGAATAGTTTAAAATATTGAAGCTGATTAAATTTATATAAGTAATATAAAGCGACATCAAATACTGACCAAACCTTATGGTATGTATTGTGATCTATTTCATCTCAAACCTGATAACTTATCATAAAGTATAAAAAATATTTAGAATTATTTAACTAATAATTGTTTTTAAGAACAGAGAGGAGGAAACGATGCAATATGGTAAAAAAATTTCAACTGTGTTATTATACAGACTTAGTTTTTTAGTTTTAGTTATTATTGAGGTGGACATAATGCCCATGCACTCAGACCTGTTGGTCCATTGTGCGCACCTCATACCGAATTGTCTTGATTCGGTTTACCCACCTAAGTGTTATCACCAAAGTGTTAATACATTACCAACCATAAAGTCACCTCTAAAGATGACCAAAGAGTCCTGTCTTTCTGGCGAAATTAAGTATCTCTCTGGGTTTTAGGTTTTTAATATCCTCTTTTTCAGGAAATGGTTTATTCAAGTAGTTTGATCTTAGTGTGGACAAGGCTTCACATTCGCACATGATGTGAAATGAGTCTTCCTCTTCTACTCCACACTTCCTGCACAATGGTGATTCCGATACCCCCATTGCGTTAAGATGCTTAAGCAGGTGACCATGTCCTGTCAGTAGACCAGTCAGGGTGCTTATTTGATGTCTAGTCATGCTATTAAGATCACCCAGCAATAAACCAGGGGTCTTGATAAACATTTTAGATTGTCTAGGTACTACCAAGTACTTCCAGATTTTCCTGTGTTGTTCTCTGCACCAATTCTTGGGTAACGCTTTGAGCGATTGCTCAGTGAGCCCTACCACTGGTTCTGGTCCAACATAGGTGTTCTCTGCTCCTTTCCTGGCTAGAAAGTCAGCATTCTCATTTCCAGTGACACCGTTGTGTCCCGGGACCCACGCTAGTGTAACTTTGTTGAACCTCGATAGTGATTCTAAAGTTTCCCTGCATTTGAGGACCAGCTTTGAATTCACCTGATCTTTACAGNCAGCTTTGAATTCACCTGATCGTTACAGAGTGCTTTCAAAGCTGCTTGACTATCACTTAAGATAGTTATCTTCCTATTTTTGTATACCAGCAGGTTCTGAGCCCCTACCAGTAATGCCATCACCTCTGCTTGGAAAACAGAGGGTGTTGTGCCCAATGACATACTGACATTTATTCGTGGCTTTAAGCCCCAAATTCCAGCACCTACCTTTCCTGATTTTTTGGATCCATCTGTATATATCACAAATCCTCCTTTGTCAGTCAGGTGGTTAATATTCCATTCTATACGTGTAGTGATCTCCACTTTGTAGGGAATGTTATTCTTAAGAACCGGTTTGATATAGTCCAAGGGGTATTCTAAAAAGCCCTTGTCTATCTCTTTTAGTATTTTACCATGTTCTGTTGTATCACTCTCCAAAGTCCACATACCTAAGTTGTGGAATCTTAGTGCTGTAGCTTTGGCGTGAGCTTTCACCTCTAGATGCAGAGGAGGCAATCCAATTAGTGCCTCTAATGCGACCGTTGGTGTAGTTCTTAATGCTCCAGTGATGGCAATAGCAGCCATTCTCTGTATGCGACTAAGTTCTTTCCTAGCTGTAATGAGTGCTGTTCTGGTCCACCAGACCAGGGCACCGTACAATATCATAGGTTTAATCACTGACGTGTACAACCAATACATAACTCTTGGTTTAAGACCCCATGTCTTTCCCAAGGCTCTGCTGCAAGTCCACAATGTGGTCATTGCTTTTTTGATTCTTGACTCAACATGTGATTTCCATTTTAGCTTACTATCCAAGATAATACCTAAGTATTTTACTTCTGATTTTAAGCTAATTTCTTGTCCATTCAGAGTAAGAGTGTCCAGGTTGTCTAGTCCTATTCTCTTTCTAGTGAACATAACAACCTCTGCTTTATTTGGATTAACAGATAGACCGTACTTACTACACCATATCTGTATAGTGTTAAGTCTCTGTTGTGCTAAGTCAATAATAGTGTCTGGGAATTTACCCACCACTGCTATAACCAAGTCATCCGCATAGGCTTGTGTATAACAATATTTGTTTAACTCTCTAATAAGCGAGTCCAATACTAGACACCATAGCAAGGGGGATAGAACCCCGCCTTGTGGGCATCCCTGTTTAACACTCTTGATTACTTTGGTCTCATTGAGCTGTCCCAAAATGGAGCGTTCCTTAGGCATGGATTCTATCCACTTAATAATAAGTGGTTCTATTCCATACTGTTGTGCAGATTCACACATAGCATCGAAGGGAGTATTGTCAAAAGCCCCTTCGATGTCCAGGAATATACCTACTGCATACATTTTATTCTCTACAGCTTTCCCTATCTTAGTAGTTAAGCAGTGTAGAGCTGTATCAGTAGATTTCCCCGTTTGATACGCATGTTGGTTTTCATGTAAAAGGTTCTCCTTAAGAGGCCCCTCCTTGATGTACCTATCATTAAGTTTCTCCATAGTCTTAAGAAGAAGAGAAGTAAGACTTATTGGTCTGTAGGATTTTGCTTCATAATAGTTAGTGCGGTTAGGTTTGGGTATAAACACTACCCTAACCTTACGCCAGCTTTCTGGTTGATAACCATAGGCAAGGCATGCCCTAAATATTTTGTAGAGATGGGGGACGATTATCTCTAACCCTTCTTGCAGAAGTGCAGAGAAAATTTCGTCACAGCCTGCAGCTTTAAAACTGCCAAAGGCTTTTATTGCCCATCTTATTCCACTTGGGGTTATCACTTTCCTGGTTAGTCTCCAATCAGCACAGGTCACACGTTTGTCCTGTGCATCATGTTCCTGTTACAGACTTAAGAAATAAAGTTTTTTAACTGCAGCTTCTACAGATAAATTTTTCAATTAGTGTCTCTGTATGTTGTCATTTAAAAAAATCTTATTGACACCCATTTAAGGCATTATGATCACCATAATTAATACTCAATAAGCGAAAAATACATAAATATATATAGTCAATAATTTTAGTGAATCTCAATGATAGTATCACCCATTAGTATTATATAAATTCAAAATTTTTTAAACTTTTTTAACACATCCATGAACATGTATATCTTAAGGAATAATTGTATTATTAGAATAAATTTAGTCTGTTTTAGAATTTAAATGTTTTTATTTTTAATATTACACAACTAATGTTATTACAAAAACACCCACTATGTTTATGAAATAAAATATATACAAATTTGTCCATTGTGTAACAAAAGTAGTAGAAGTCAAATAATCAAAATAAAAACACATTAAATAATTTTCCTACAACCATTAAAAACAAGGATATAATTCAAACATAAAACAGTAACATTATCAACCATATGAGCATATAAATAAATTTAAAATTAAATTACATTATTGATCATTTATTTTAAAAGAAAATTTATGTTTTATTACTTAAATGTAATACACTAAAAAATGTTAATAACTAGTAAATGTTATAATTTAAATTGATGAATTTTCTAGTAAATGATGATTTTATAAATGATATACCAATAGCATCAAAGATCTAATATATTTCAATGAAATATTTCCATTTTAATTTAATTTAACTCTTCAGTTAAAAGTTAACAAAAAAATTTATTAGCTCTGAGGAATAATGACAATTATTACTATAAATAAAAATACATTAAACATTTTGAAAATTTGCTAAAAATGATAAAAAAAAAAAACAGTAAAATGTAATATTTTAATTTTATATATATAAAAAAAACAATTTAATATAAAAATAAGTTGCCAAAAAAAAATAAAAAAAATTGGTAATGACTTAACAATATCAAAGGCACTAAAGAACCTTATTTGAACCGGAAAAAGCTAAAGAATAAAATTAATTTATTATCACAGAAAATTAATCATATGCAATTAGAGAAGAGTTTTGCTACTAAATGGTTAAATTTACCATTACAATATTAAATAACATATAGTACATGTATTACATATGTATGCATAGTAATATCTCAGAATACAAAATTAATTGCACTATAGAATTAAATATAATGTAATTAGTATAACAGTTTTTTAAATGCCAACTTGTATTTCAAATTAATTTTAGGTATCAATATTTGAAATGTATTGAAATATCAAACTAATCTTGAATTTTTTTTTAATTTTTAAAAGGTCTATACATTGTATTGCGATCTTTAATTGGCAATGGATGGGCTTCTGAATTAAACACCCATTTATCTAATGGTATAACGGTATCTTCACTAAATATTAAATATAAATACTGAAAAAAAAATTTACTTTAGAAATTAACACAGAAATTAGTTTTTATTTATAAATACTTTTAGAGTTTCTGCAAAAAAGTAACTCTGTTGAACATCATCTTTGAGAGAATCTATTTGATACACATCTTTAATACCAGAATACCCACCAGACACCTTGCAATGTTTTTCAAAAGCCTGAAAAATTAATAAATTAAATCAGGTAAATTACACAGATATGGATAAAAAAAAAAAAAAACAAATTCTTTATTGAATCTTAAATTTTTATTTGATCTAATAGTGCAACTAAAATTATTACTTGAACAGCTTCCCAAGCCCAATCTCGATACTTATTGTTATGTGTTAGTCTCCATAAAACAAAGTATGATTCAACCGTTTCTGGTCTAAGAATGTTATATTTTTCAGTACCACGTACAGCAATGGCTTCATAATTTTCAGTAAATCTAAAGGCTTCAGGCCCTAATTTTGTAGCAGTTTTATCATAAGCAACATGGCATGTTTCAGTTAATCCAGCTCCAATTTCTGTATAACGTCTAGATGAATCAACATTTATGGTTTCACCAGCAAGGGCAAACATGCCTCCTATAATTTAAAATATAAATTATTATTATAATAAATAATTTAAATTAAAATACCATAATTATAAAATGTTAATCATTTTCTTTTGTTCCTATTTTTCTTATATTAAATTGGCAAACAAAATTATTGACTAATATTATTTTTGTTGCATGTTTTATTTAGTATAAAACAATAATTTTTATAGTGCATAAATTTTACCGGCAAAACAGGATAAATGATCCATCTTATGTTCAATACGTTCAAACCTCATATCAGCTAGATATTTTAACCCAGATACTGATGTTTGTACCAAATTGTCCATTACACTTGCCATGGCATCAACGAACATTTCACGAGCAATTATATCTTCTCCATTAGACTGAATATATGCCTTCAATAAATATTCATAGAAACTATCACCGAGTCCTCCCAATGAAATATGACCTAAACATAATTTTTTTAATATTTGTAAAATATTTTTATTATTTAAATATAACAATAATAGTATGCACTTACGTTGTCCCCATTTTCCAGTAACAGGATTTAAAAAATTGGGATATAGCCCATTAGGTTTCTCTAAACCCTTCACAAACTGTCTAATTCGCTCTACTTTTTCTTTGTATATATTATTTCCAGTGATATCAGATAAATAAAGAAATTCTAAGTGTAATGTTCCAAATTCTGAAAGTATACTACTTCCACCACTTGCCCAAAAATAATTTTTGCTATTCTATAAGATAAAATTTTAAGAATTATGGCAAAAATTATAACTAATAATTCAATAAAATTATTAAATTAATAGACAAATATTATAATGTATAGTAAAAATGAAAAACTACTCACTCCTGTTTTTAAATTAACTAGAGAATAAGGTATTCCAGTTGGAGTTTGAAATGCGGGTAATAATTTATTTGCAACATATTCAGCTTTATCCCGAAACATAGTGTCACCAGTCATAGCATAGCACGACAAAAAACCGCCAATATAACGAATATTTGTTTCAAAAACTGACATGTCTACTTTCTGAATAAAAAACATTTAATTATAATATATTTTTAGTTAGCATGATTAAATTATTGTTTTTACCAAATTTTCAAGAGTAAAATTATTGGCAACCCAATCTCGACCATGTTGATATTCATCATTTAATCCCATAATAAGAAGTGTATCTAATGAATCTACTATAGTTGCACCAATACTTGCTGATCCAAAAACACTTCCAGAGTGCTCACGCTTTGATACAGGTTTCAATTCATTTTTACCCCAAGCATATTTAACATAATTGTCCCATCCATGTTTCATCATCTAATAAAAGTTAAAGAAATAAAATAAATTAGAAATTTTTAAAGTGCCAATAATTAAATTCAATATTACAAAAAATAATAAAAATTTATAGTAAACTTTGCAAAAAAAAATAAAATGAATTATATTAACAACATTATCTTAAGCAAAATTTTAAATAAAAAGAAATATATATATATAATAAACATTATGGCAAAATGTAATACATTTTTTGCAAAAATATACTTACTACTTAAAAAAAAAGATTTTTTTATGTCTAGTTGAAACGTTTTAAAATTTTTCTTATTGTATTACAGTAACTAGTTTTTAATTAAAACTCTAAAATATCATTTAACTTGAAAAACTCATTTATAAAAAATTATTTTAAATCAGGATATAATAAATAATCCCTAACTTCCTGATAACTTTTACATTAAAAATATAATAATATCTATTACATGTTTTAACAATGTATTAAGTGGTGGTCAGTATTGAATTAAGGTATACTTTTAAAGACTGAACTTTCCTTTCTAAGATTTTGATAGTACCCTGATGATTTAGTTATTTTTGAAATTTATAGAGAAGAGGGTGTTTGATGGTTCAACTCCCCATTACAAATTTTACTTATAATCAAATTATTATTTTAAATAAGGTGAGAGTTCATTTATTTAAAATCCCTCATATAAATAATCAATACCAAACCACTAAGTTTCAGTCATGATAAAAAAACTGCTCATTCTCTATACCACGTCAATAAAATTAATTATGAGTCAAAAATTGAATATAATGCTTATTTTTGTTATAATACTCATTTACTATAAAATATATCAATTAAATTACAATTATTACAATTGTCAATTTGTACATTCAAAATAATGAATTTATATAAAAAAAAAAAGTTGTAGTTTTGGTTAAAGACAAATTATTATACTTTATCTTAGGAACAATATATATATAAATAAAAATTTTCATGAACAGATTACAAATACTAAAAAAAAAAAGTAACAAAGAAACTTTTTTGAGAGGTTAAACTTTGAAGCCATTAATAACATTTTTAGTTTACTTTATTTTTTGAATTACAACCATATTTTATTAATAGTAAAAACTTAATAACAAAGTACACATAATTCTTTCATGCGTGATTATAAAATTAGGATCAAAACATGTAAAAATGTAATTTAAAAATAAATAATATAGAAAATATTCCAAAAGGTAAATGAAGGATAGTTAAAAAAGTAAATGACACTTGGTTAAATGATTTAAAGTGTTAATTAAATGTAGAAAACTGAATGCTTTCTTTTACATCAATAATAAGTATTTTATTTTGTAATTCCATTATTCCATAACATTTTAAAATGTTGATTGATTATTAGTTCTTAAGTCACTACAAAATTTTAAATAAAGCTCTTAAAAAATTCATAAAAGTGTACTTATCTCTTCTATACTAGACCATCAATGTTATAAAATAATTAATTAACTAGTTTATTTTTTAATATTTACTTACAGCTTTAACAGTATTTCTTTTTTTTTTTAAATCTTCATCCCCATAATCACTTGTTTCAATATGCTTAATACTTGTTTCAGAGTTTGTAGTATAGTTGTCAGAGTATAAATTTAAGGTCATATCTATATCAGGTCTTTCCAAAACTTTTTTTTTATCTGTTTCATATTCTTCAATTTTAGCTGACAAGGCCTCTTTGTCCCATGCAACATGTGGATCTTCTAACACTCCATCATGCCGAGCATTACCTCTTACAGGTAGCAAAAGTTCTGGCCCAGCTTTCTTAATATGTTTATACACATTGTTAAAAGTCCCACTGTAAGTAGCTTTGAACTCGGGTAAATAGAATAATGCTCCAAAACATATGACTGTTAATGAAATGAACACTAGACCTACTAAACACAGCTCACTATTTCTGCGAGTTCGGCGACTAAATGGAACTGGTGCACCATTTAAGTACTTGTGATATTGAGGCAGGAGTAATGTAGAATTTGTCATAGTTATTATGTAACAACAACTATATGAATATACAGTATCAGCTTTACATAATAATTTAAAAGTATAAATTTGATTTAGAATAAGTGTTTCACAAGATATAAAATTAAACCACTAATAAAGGAAAAGGTTAAAACTGAAATACTATAAAAAGTAAAAATAAATGACCCAATTCACAATATAAATGTAAAAATAATTACTTAAAAGATCATATTTAAAAAAATTATCTTGAATACACTAATTTTATAACACTATAATGAACAATAATTCACAAACACATTTCGAAAACAAGTTTTATGCATAGTTAATTGAACTGACATGAACTATATTTATCAACTATTAACTTTAGGTGGAAAATAAAATTTAATAAAATTAAAATTTAACTAGATCATCAATTATTAATCTAGTAAAAAGTAATTTGAGAATAATATAAATACTACCTAGATAAGATAAGAATGGACCCCACATTGGATATGATAACTGTATATTGACCAAAACCTTTTAAAATAATATACTAAGAGATTGTAAAGTATTTATGGCGAACTATTTTGATGATTCACTAAAAGCTAGCGATGATTTTTCATACTAAATATTTAAATAAATCATTGTGTGATAAATTACAAAATCTTATATTTTTTGAACTTAACAACTTTTGCATGATTTTTTAAAATTTAATTTGAAACACCTAACTGGTTACTAAAAAGGTTTTAAGCTATAAAATTGACTAAATTTGAACATAATTTTTAACAATTAGATTAAATTGAATTAGATTTTAACAAGTTTAATTCAATTTTTCTCTTTAATATAATATAATAATAAAAATTTCTATCATACGTGTGTGACAGAAGATGAGTGATGGGCTAGGTCCTTATAAGACTTCAATGATGACGCCTAAGAAAGAGGACAGTTTAAGTGTACACATAGTGGTTTTACATAATTTAATTTATTGTAAGCTTAAATACTTATATACTACTAATTAACTTATACATAAGTTAAAAGTACTATAATACTTTTAATAATAATTGAAACACTTAAAATGTAAGGATATTAGTAAGTATTTTTGATTTCGACATTTTTGAGATTTCTAAAACGTTTTATATGTATTGTAAAAAAATATAGAAAGGGGAAGTTGAATTTAATCAAACACATATTTATACTAACTTATGTGACGTATGACTAATTGTATAGAACTATATGGCATGCGGATCTCACAGTTAGATTAAATTTATTCTAGAACATCTAGTGAAGTATTAAGGGTTTTAAAACCTCGGGAGAATTTATAATTGATGTTCCCTCTAAAAACCTTTGTTGAGCAAAAAAAGTCATTAAAAATTTTTTTTTAGCTTAAAAATTTTAGCTACACCTACTATAATTTTTAAAAAAGTTTAGAATATGTATAAACACAAGAACATGCACAAACATAACCTTAAGACACTTTGGAGAAGGTACCCTTTCTACATCAGAGATAGAAATAGAATAAAACAAATATTTTTTGGGGTGAAAAATTTTAATATTTTTTCCACATTTTACAAATATTTTATCTTCGATGCGAAGCTGAGAAGGTATTGGTTTTACTAAGTTGTGTTTATTTTTTTATTTTTGTGTCTGTTACCACTTTTTCTCAGATCTCACCGAACCGATTTCTTTCAATGATACGTCAAAAGATCACAAATCGTATCTAGTCGAAGACATAACCTTAAAAATTGAAAAAATTTTCCTCGTTCCCCGTAAATGGGGGAAACCTCCAAAAAAATTACAAATTTAAAAATCGCTAATTTTCAAAATTTTTTCAATTTTTTTTACTTAAAATTGCTATAACTTTTTTAAAAATAACCAAATCAATATAATTCTTTTTTATATAGATGCATGATATCATTACCTTTCATTTGGTATACTTTTTTTTTATATGTGACCCATTACTTGCCCACAGGGTGGGATTTTAAATGACAACTTTTTCACAAAAAATTAATTTTTCAACTTGATTTTTGAAAATGTTCCGGAACGTCTGACACTTTTATATATATCTTAAATTAAAGCTTATGTAATGTACTTTATTATGAAAAAAAAAATTTCGGACTTTATCTTATCTTCACGGTGAAAATGGCTACCGAATGCTATTATTGTATGAAAATTTTCGATTTTATATTTTACATTTTTAACTTTATAATGCTATGACATATTGAAAAGTGTATGGATCAACATTATTTTTTTATGAGAAATAATATTTTTAATTATCCCTTTTTCATTCGACATACTTTATCTTAATTAGGATATTAATAATGAACTAGCAGATCATGTAGCTTTTGGAATAATCCACCAATTTTTTAAAATTAAACACTATCTAAAGATTTGCATCGAAGCGTTTTTTTTATTATAGTGATTTTAATCACTGTCAGATATCATTATACTTGATCTATGTCACGTCACTACTGTGCCGCGACCCCCCCTGTGCTGGGTTTTGTTATTTTCTATGTTTAAATATATTTAATAGTAAATATATTTTTAATAATACTAAAATTGGTTTCCATAGCTTTAAACTGATAATTAGTCGTGTTATTTTATGTTATTCAAATTCAATCGTCAGTTCTACGATTACTAAATATAACTTGCGTACTTCACATCAAAATTAACCATCTCAACAGTGTTTACAATTTGAAAAGATAATCAAAAACTGGAAAGATTTTTTGATAGGTCTAATTCAGCTCTGCCTTCTATTTTGTTATTCATTTTGCATATTTCTAGTCATTTTGTATAAACTTTATCAATACCTTATTGCAAAGTATGAACGTCCAGTAAATGAATCGTTCGATAATATAAACTCATCCAATCCATGCACGACGGCTGAAATTAATCCATATGATAAACATGTAACGTTAACAAAAACAGGAATTGACCATACGATTGCTGTAGAATTATCAATGGAGACGTTGGAACAAACACACAATATGTTTATATCAAACTCCGAAATGGAATTAGACCCTACGGCAAAAAGAGTAATGATTACATTACCAAGAAAACTGCCAAGTCTTATTGAACACGATAGACTTAAAATTGACTTCTTAGATCATTTTAAGCCACAAAAGAAGTGTATTACAAAAAAGCAACCCTTGAAAATGCAGTCAAAATCATTTATCATTGTAGCGGAACGCATTTGTTTGTTTGTCAGTGGGAAAAAAACGGTACTTTGATAAACCTGAAGTGTTATGTCCACAAAGCGTAAAAATTCGTATATTAGACGGAACAAAAAAATGTGGGTCTTATAAATATGGACAGTTATATTTTGAAAAAAATGTATTGATACAAACAGTTGTTTTGAAACTAAAACGTAAATATTCATTAAAAATAATCCCATAAAACATATTGTAATATTTAGCTGTTATAAAATTATTTCAAATTTCATTTTTAATGTTTAGAAACTTGTAGTAAAACTAATTTAAAGTATTTTTGTTTATAAAATATTCTTTTCATAAATGAATTGTTTAATAAATCTTTGTTGGATAATTTAAAATCATTATTAAGGACATTTGATGTCAAGGTTATAAATAATATATATAATATAATTATATAATGAAATATTTTTCATACAAATATTTTTTAAAACAAAATATTACTACAGGTCTACTTTAAAAATCATTTATTTATAGATATATGTGTTTTAAATTATTTCTTAAATCATATTAATTTGATAAGTAAGATTATATAAAAATTAAAATTTCTTTAAAGTTACAAATATTTAATATACATGTTTAATTATGATGTATGTTTTATTAACTTTTTTAAATTACACATATTATTATACTTATATTTTTGTGTATTTATTTAATTGAAGTAAGATGATTATGAACAACAATGACAAAGCAAATAGTTTTATGTTATTTTTTTTTTGAAAAACTCAATAATTGAGTTATTTAATTATTGAATTTAAATGAACATACAACATTTTATGTTTTAAAATTGAAGATACAACTTTTAAAAAAAAAAATTAGTTTTTAAATGCCTAAGTTCGTAATAAACTTTATGTTATACAATGTATACAGAATGATCCTGTTATAATGAATCAAAAAATAAAATAATGAATGTTTTTTTTTTTTAGTTTTTTAAATTTACATGCTTTTTTCATTTATTAATCATGAAATATTTTCAACGTTGATACCTCACAAGGTGAAGTGAACCTACAATAGTTATATAATTATTGGAGAAAATACGCGACAATGATAGGTAGTCAGTCTGACTATGTTATATTTTTAATGATTCTTCTTCTTCTTCTTGGGTTTATTGGGCCTTTAAGACCATCCCGTCTCACAACAAAGCTTCCAGCATTCTCTGTCCACTGCCAAATCCCTCCAATTGGACACACCTCCCATCTGCTCAACATCCTTTTTTACAACATCATCCCAGCGCATTCTTGGTCTTCCCAAAGGTCTTTTACCTACAGGATATGGAATTGCCTAATGATATGTAAGATCGATTCATGTACAGCAAAACCAGTCCCTAGTTTGTGCCCTCGTTCCTTTCTTCCATTTATGATTGTTGTTTGTGACATTTTTGTTATTCCCGCATCCTCCAATCTCATCTCTTGTAACGCCACAAACTTCAATTTGTATCTCTCCACTTCACCTATTAATTCCGCTGCTGCTTCAGGTTTGTATAGTGTTCGTATATTCCAAGTACCACATTTTAAATCCGATATCCAATTTCCAGTCGTTTTTCCCAATCTAGTCCGAGGCTTGTTGTTGTTCGAATCCTGAACATGAAGTTTTTACAGTACAGGTTGTCGGCCTGTAGCTAACCTATCTAAAGATAGGTGTCAGAGTTATCTTTCGATAACCCTAACAACTAGGGTACGCGAGGTCGTCATACCCGTAGACTTAATAAAGTCTCCCTTGCGGGAATTTTAATGATGATTAAATAAAAAAAAAAACGCTTCGATGCAAATCTTTAGATAGTGTTTAATTTTAAAAAATTGGTGGATTATTCCAAAAGCTTCATAAACTGCTTGTTCCTTTTTAATATCCTGATTAAGACAAAGTATGTAGAATAAAAAAGAAATTATTAGAAAATAGTATTTCCCATAAAAAAATTATATTGATAAAAAAACTTTTCAATACACTTGGTAGCCATTTTCACCTTGAAGAGAAAATAAAGTCCGAAATTTTTTTTTACCATTATAAAGTATATTACATTAGCTTTAATTTAAGATATATATAAAAGTGTCAGACCTTCCGGAACACTTTCAAAAGTTACGTTGAAAAAGTTCTACTTTCTATATGCATTTTTATGTTTTGAA